ATTTAATTGCAGGAGTAGCAGCTCTCTCCTCCCACGCGTCCCTCACAATTACAGCTGTGGTGTTGAATTGCACGGTTTGGGAACGAAAGCGAGACGGAGATGGAAGTCAACAGGACATGGATTTTCAAGGCAGCTGAAGATGGGTTTCGAGGGAAGCGTTTCCTTGCTGGTGTGAGGAGAGACTTGGGCCCATTTCATCTGCTTCAGGGGGCGAGAGTTTGGGTCGGCTATATAATGCTCTGGCCTGTTCGACCAGTCGAAAGTCTCATGGGACGAAACGAAGTAGTTAACCTAATTGAGAAATTCCGTTCGGCCAGCCTATAGTGTAGTGGGGTGAAACGCACAGCTTAATTTAATTGAGAATTGACCATAGTGCCCCTTCGACAAACCCTCTGGGTGCTGAAATTTTGAATCCCTCAAAAGCCAACCCTTGTTTTGGCTTCATATATCTTATAGAAGGATGACGCTAGAGAGTAAGATGTGTAGAGAAAAATACCTGATTGGTGGATAAGTGCAAACGAGTGGACTAAATTGGATTACAACACGTTGTATTTGTGACTATAATTATATGTATTTTCTCCCTTCATATTTATTAAAATAATTTTTCGTTGTTATTTCTTATTTGAACGGGACTGTGTATATTGTATTAATTTATATTGTCAATTCGTTGCCATATATCAACTATCAATAAAAATATAATGTATTTGTTGTTTATCAACTAATTATTAGAGTCTCCTCCCAACATTTTACTTTCAACGAATGATTTTAACTAGAGTGTGTTTCGGGGTTCCTTGAAAAGATTGAAAATATTTCATCATTTGAATGAAATCATTTGTAACTAATAACATGTGATATATTTAATACGTGTGATTTCAAATTGTCTCGTTGATATAGCGAATGTTTTGGATGTTAACTTGACCAACTTCTAGAAGGAATATCCCAAGTTGTTAATACGGTAGCAAGGCGAGCTTATAAACCAACTTATAATCCCATTTTGTTTACCATAAATTCGACACTGTAAATGAAATTCTGTGTTGAAAGAAAAACACATCTGAAAGTGAACTAGGTTACTGGATCTATAAACAAAGAGAGCATATGGAAGAAGAACCTCAGTTGGTTGGGGCGGGCCAGTAGCCACCTAGTTTTCGTCTAGGGCCCACGAAACCAAAACCAGACTTTGGCCCACGAAAGGAAGGCCTTTCTTGTGAATGCTGGGTGTTTCTGGATCACGACCGCAAGAGGTCAAGCCCAACGGAAACAAAACCAACCAAGTTGTAGTTTTTTTTCCCAGACTATTAAGCTGATACATTGGAATCAATGTATAGGAATGACAATGGATTTGGGTGGAGCCAATTTTTCCAACATATCATTTCCCAACTTAAATTTTGAAATCATAGTCATTTCCACAACTAAAAATAAGCGTAGATGAAATATGACACCAAAATCAACTCGTATGAGGTTCCAATAAAAAACACTTCCACCATGCTCGGACCGTCATATCTAAATATCTTGACATAATGTAAAAAATTTCTTACCATATAAAGTTTCTTGGAAATACTCTTTGCAAGTGAGGGGAAATGGGTAAGATTCGGGATCTAAAAGTATTATAATACTCTAAAGATATAAATGATGAAAGGGTTTTGTCATGTGCATTTATTTAGTTATTCTAGTTATTTAATTAGGATTTGTTATGGGTGGGGAGACGTGATTAGTGGGTTAGTGGTTACCTAGAATTGGGGACTTAGTTTAGGTTTTGCTTTATTGTTTCCGTTAGTTCAGTAGTTGTAGGGTTATTAGTTTGTATTTAAGGTAGCAGAGGGATAAATGAAAGAATAATCAATCAAGTATAATCAGAAAAGGGTTTTACACAATTACGTGTTAATTTGGGAGGTTGGCTTTCCTCGGAATAGCTTAGGGGTTCCGTTCTCGCCATTAAGGAGAACCCTTCTCTTCTTTCGATCTATCTGTTCATCAATCTTCTTCTTCCTATTTCAATATTTCTTCCTAAATCGTATTCGTGCAAAAAGGGCACGTAACATTTAGTATCAGAGCCGACCGATCCTATCACCATGGAGTCCTTTGAATCTATTTCCACTAAGAGGTTCAAACAAGAGATCGCATTGAGGGAGGAGATGAGAAAGAATTTTGCGGCCCTCATCAAGAGGTTTGAACAATTTCTCGCACGCCGACAAGGAGAGGGCAAACTCCATAGGGAGATTGGTGGATCCATATCAATGGAGAATAAGCTTGTAGAACGACAAGTAGCCACTAGCAATTTCAAGTTCTTCAAGGAAAAATTGAAGGTCGATCAGGCTAGTAGCAGACCTTCATCTGGGCCTCCCAAGATGTGAGTTGAGCAACCTACGCCATCAACGACAGCCGCCGGCGAGCATGCCACACCCATCGATCCCCGCCATGGCTGTTGGCCAAGTTGAGGCGCTGCATGAAGCTAGCTTGCCACAGGTCACCGTCATCGCCTCGAAAAGCATCATCGCTATACAAGACGTCAAAGAGGATGAAGCCATTAGCAAAAGCGCTGCTTGCGAGCTCATTGACCCAAAAAATAAAAAGGGCACGTAACATTTGGTACCAGAGCTGGCCGATCCTACGACAACGGAGACTCGAATGGTCCGCATCGAAGCCTAGCTTGCTTCGGCAAGATGCACAAGGGATTGCAAGCTTCAGGCAGGAGATGCAGGAGAGTTTTGCGGCTCTCATCGCAAGATTCGATCGATTCTCGACCAATGATAGATGGGCGAAGGTCGAGCAGGCCAAAGCTAGAGCTCAACCAGGCCCTCTGGTGACGTCAATGGAGCAACATGCGCCACCAGTGACAGCTGCGGTGCCGCCGGCGAGCAGGACGCACCTCTCCGTTGAAGACCAGTCACCAAATTTTTTAAAATCTCAAGCCTCTTCTCTTGTTGTCACGTTGATGAAATCAGGTGCGGCTTCAACTGTACGGGAGACATCCATGAAAATGGGCCTCCACAAGACTACAGAATCCAATGTCAAGCAACCAAGCCATTCTGAGTTCCATAATGACCATGACAGTTAGACTCTTTCATTGTCCAAGCTCCCTACCTACTCATCGTGCGCTAGAGTAGCCTGCCAAGTAAGGGATAAGTGTTTGGGCGATTTTCATCATGATTGGTGGAATTTCCCTAACGTTTGTCCAACCTTAATTTCCCCGTCACATTAGGAAAGACTGCCATTATTATTGAAAGCAAAAGGTGCTGATCATTTTGTGGGGGGGGGTCCTTTGATGGCAGAAGAAAAGTTTGGCCAATGGAGCCTAGCATCCAAATGGTGGTGGTGCATGCTCTTTGGAGATCCAAGTTGAAGAGCACATGACTGGTTTATGGCTGATTCTTGTGGTCAAGAATGTCATGTGCATTTATTTAATTATTCTAGTTATTTAATTAGGAGTTGTTACGGGTGGGGATTATGACGTGATTAGTGGGTTAGTGGTTTCCTAGAATTGGGGACTTAGTTTAGGTTTTGATTTATTGTTTCGTTAGTTTAGTAGTTGTAGGGTTATTAGTTTGTATTTAAGGTAGCAGAGGGATAGATGAAAGAATAATCAATCAAGTATAATCAGAAAAATGTTTTACACACCTACGTGTTAATTTGGGAGGTTGGCTTTCCTTGAAAAAGTTTAGGGGTTCCGTTCTCGCCATTAAGGATAACACTTCTCTTCTCTCAATCTATCTGTTCATCAATCTTCTTCTTCCTATTTCAATATTTCTTCCTAAATTGTATTCGTGCAAAAAGGGCACGTAACCAGTTTATGAAGCGAGTGAACATAAACAATAAACATGTACAATTTAACTGTTGATTGGCACATTAAAATAAGTTTATTCAATCATTCCCATCATCAAGTACCGTACGTTCACCCTTTTCCTTGAACTGGTCCTATTAGATAGCTGCAAAGGTACGTACGACGAGCCGCACCAATGGTTTGCATGGAACATGAGCATATGATTTCTCGGGAACAAAAATGACGCCGACCATATGCTCCATCGGACCACCACCACTACATCAAAAGTTAACCATGTTTTTTATATTCTATCTTTTCTTCTTATCCTTCCCTTTCCCTTTTGGCAACCGATCGACGACTTTCCTAACCTTAATATTACGGCCACATTTTTCGGCTAAAGAAGCCCCAACACATGCTGTCCCTACATCTTATGTGGTGTGTACGCATACCATGAAAGCATCTAATTAAAGATGGACAACTTTCTTGGCATAGGAAAGCAATAAAAAAATCATGTCCCAAAGTTTTTATTAATGATTATGACCATGTTTTCGAGTTATCGGGCTAACTAAGTGTACGACTAACACCAATACAACGTATGGGGTATATTGCCATTATATATTTGTTCTTCTTCTAGTGCAAGAAGATGTCAGAGCATAGAGAATTCTGAGAACTTTTTGCATGTTAGAGTTGTTTTGCTTAAAGTTATAGTCATTTATTGTTGGCCCGATTATTATGACATGTTATTTAAGTATGTATATAAAGTAAGTGGTATTCCCTTATGAGTGGGATATTCCACAATGACAATTAGTGGCGGATTTGGAAATCTACACTATACAAGAAAAACATTGTATGGAAAAAATAATTAGCTTTATTTTTTATGAGTTCAAAATGGATGAATGATTGATTACTGTGGCCATGCAAAGTATGAGAATATAATATATTAGGGTGCACATATGGTGCCTTGTAAGTCACCGTAACTTGCACAATTCAGTCGACCTATGCATAATTGAGGTCGACCGAATTCACTGTCGTGGTCACTCTAATGAAAAATCACGGTCGACCATTAACATATAGTGGTCGAGAATTTTAATTTAGTTGATACTGAAATTGTCGACCACACTAAAACATCGGCCGACCTTTCAGTGTAGTCAGAAGCAAAATGGTCGCCCGTAAACGAAGGGAGGTCGACCACTCGATGGTAGCCATTACCAAACTTGTCGACCATTTACAGCAACAGGTCGACCATGGACTACATGAGGATTGTATGCTCGGACGTATACACCATCATGCATCTCAAATCCCATCTTCTTCAAGGATGTAACTATGTAGAACTCCTGCCTTCTGACTCTTAAGTCAACCTCTTCACTTAAATTCACAAGAAATCCTCAAATAGAAAAGTTAAGATCATCTCATAGGGAAGATTCATGTTTGAACTCTCTGCAACAGCAAACATATGTTTAAAGATCAAATATGACAAGTTAATCTTCTCATGTGAAAGTAGGTTGGTGAGGAGCTCCATGTCAAAGTAGGTGACGACCTCCCGATGTCTTACCTTTGGAAGAATGTTGTAGGAGAGCATATGGTGAAGAAATCTGGCTTCAACTGTCAGCTGGTGAATAGTTTGCCTACTGTGATCCTCAACATCTTCCTCTTCAGCAAGACCACATACAGTCTATATTTGCTTGGCTCTTGAGAAATAAGTTTCATTCTAAGCATTTTAAGCATCGATTTTCCCCCCATGTTTAGAGTCTCCAGTACTACTGCCAACACATTTTTGGTGATCTGCATCTCTACTCCATTCACATAGGTTTTAAAAGAATAAATCGATCTATTTTCTGAACTTTGATAGACTATGTTGTTATAGAAGTATTGTACCTTTTTTGGGTCGTATGGTACATCGAGAGATATCACCTTTAGCCAACTTGCTCCACAAATGTTGCAAGGAACCCGTAATTCTCGAAATGAGCATACACATTAGTCATCAATGGCCTTCCAAGAGCCACCATATGGTTGTGCATTTTGTTCTCTTCATATTTGTCGCTTTGTATTTTGGTCTGAAAAATAGTTGGATTGAACTCTTACCATTCAGAACTTGAGGCAGCCACTTTGAATGACTTTCTTTTCTTCTTTCCTCTATCCATCCCGAGATCAAAGAAAACCGAGTTCACATTAGCCATCCTGACAACAGATACGGATGACCTCACTGTAAATAGGTCGACCCAAGTGTACCAAGCAGAAGCAAACGACACCAGACTCGGTCGACCTCCCAGTAAATAGGTCGACCTATTTTTGCAAGCAGAAGCAAACATCAACCATAAACACATCCACTTTGCTAAGATCAATAAAGACAAACATAATAGGTCAACCTCACTATAAATAGGTAGACCTATTTTGAAATTAGAAGCAAAATCAACCAAAAAACACATCCAGTTTGCTGAGATCGACAATATCAAACATAATAGGTTGACCTCACTATAAATAGGTCAACCTATTTCTGCAACCGAAAGCATACGTCGACACCCAGCCAAACGACGAGCTTAATGATGTCGAAAGGAAAAAAAATCGGTCAACCAATTATGAAGAACAGTACAAAAACCCTAATTTTGTATATTTAAAACTGTGCCGAGAAACCAAACAATATCGGCCGACCATGGATAAAGAAGGTCTACCTATTCTATCAAGAAAACTTAATTTTGGGGGTTTCAAATCAACATCTGAATGAAAACAGATGCAATCGACCAAGAAAGGATGCGGTCGACCGATTCTGGTAAAAACAAACAAAAGAAATTTGGGGGTTTGGTAAAAACAAACAAAAGAAACATGAACGAACAAAAACTAACCCAAATGATAAGAACATATGAGAAACATACCTTATTCTGGGTAGGAGCAGCTGTGAATGAAATTGATTGGATGATTTTTTGTTTCTTTAATGATTTTTTTGGGGTAGAAGAAGAAGGGAAAGGAGTGAAAAGAAGAAAGTGAAAAAGAGGTGTAGATGAAAAATAGCTGGAGGAGGCTGCTACATAGTGGAGTAAAAGGGGTAGGTTTTTAAGGTTTGACCGAATTTAAATTTCAAATTCGGTCTAGTTAACCAAACATGGAATCGGTCGATCACGTTCAGAAAACGGTCGTCCTAATTTTATCTGATCGAGCGATCCATCCATCAGGTCGACCATTTACTTTGTTTCAAGAAATTTCAACAACCAAATAACACATGCTTATATTTTGAAGATAACTTAAAATACATAAATGCGAAAATAAACGATACGTCCAAAAAATCAACTACTAAAAAATAGTACAAGAAATTTATGATATTTTTTGGGACTTTGTTTCGGACACTTAGGGCGAAAATGACCATATTTCCCATATTTCGAACACTTTCTTAAACTTTTGCCCGATGCATTTTTTGCTGATTTGAATGTTACCTCGGTCTTCCCAATTTTTGGGTGTTTCACACTTGGAAGGGGTGCTAGAAGGTTTGCAGGTGCAGTGGTATCCATTCTCTTCCTCGATAACTCAATTTCCTATTGAGTAAGGTTATCCAACTCATTAGAGACATGATTAAAAGCAGCTTCACTGCCACACGCAATTTCACACAAATGCTTACACTTCAGTGACAATCTCACATGTCTTATCATTCGATCGAGTTTCTCTGTCACTTCACCTCCAACTTCAGGATTACGAGATAGTGTCTTTGCATTTTGGGTCCATCGAAGCTTGAACCACGTGGAGGGTAGTGCTGTAAATCCCTTATTTTTATGACTGTAAGCATATGTCTGCGTGGAAACCCCTTAGATTCAAACAATACACACTCACAATTTAGATGTTGATTGGTTGTAGTAAATGTTAACCTCCTTCTCCGATTCGGGTCCATGAAGTTCTTCAAAATGAATGTCTCTGTCCCATCTGCTTCATTTCTTGTCTCTGCTAACAAATAAGAAACTTTATTCTCTAGTTCAGACTTGAAGATAGCAAATGTACGATGTGTGTAGATATTTTTAGCTTGCATTTTCCATGTGTGAAGGGCATGCTTGCAGACCAACCTCGTGTGCCTAGAAGAATAATCATCGTGCACCTCTGTGTAATGCATCCCCTCCAGTGCTTCATCAATGCCCTGAACAAAACGTTGCAAGTTGTATTGAGTTGCTACGTACCCATTTATCCAATGGTTACATGACTCACATCGCGAGGTTGATTCCACCGAAATAAATATCCTTCAAGTATGCCTCTTCCGAAAGTGATTTGTCAACGTACAAATCATGCAACCACTTATTTGAAGACAAACCAAGCTCAATAATCAAACGCTCCCAGCGACTCTCAAATTCAGTTGATATATATACGTGCTTTCGCCAAATGGTAAATGCGCTAACGAACTCCCTATTACGAACATATGTTATCGCATTTGTCTCAATATGCCAAATACACAGTCGATGAGGTACTCCAACCAGTACTGTAGAAATGACGCCCCACATAGACTTGCATCCATTTGTGGTCACTGAAGTCGACATCTTAGAGTTCATACACTCCAGGAAAGTATTCAACAACCAAATGTAGTTGGAGATTGTCTCGTTATCCAACTGGGAAAAACCATATATAATGTTACGATGGTGGTGATTTACACCAACCATCATAACAAATGACCGATTGTACTTGTTGGGCTTGTAGCATGCATCAAAAGCCAAGACATCCCAAAAAAATGGTAATCTGCTCAGATGTGGAGTCTGACCAAAAGAGATTGCTTAATTCACCTTGATCGTTGATTGTATACTTGAAGAAGCTGCATATATCATAAGTATGTTTACTTTGCAAGTAACCCAATGTTTGGTTTACATCTCCTATTAGATCGTCACCATCTTTTCGAGCTTATTGAATAACTTTATCCAAATCCTTTGGAGCATACCCCAGATTCTCATATCCTCCAACTTTATTCTTCATGAATTGAACAATGTTGCGTTGTTTTATTCCCGACTGTCGCATCCCTATCGCCAATGTCTTGTCTCCTTCACTCACATTTCGATGAGTCTGAAGTAATTGAGTTTCTTCTTCATTGCAACAACGATGTGAGTGCTTCCTCTCGTACTTAAAAACAACCCACATTTTCTTCCCCCGATTAAAGCATACATTATAGGATGCCTTGCATAAATGTCTTGTCATCCTACGATGTTGTCGTGTCCAACCTTCTTTATCTATATGCCTCTTCTGTATAATTCCCTCTCTCGAACATACCATTTTCCTACTAGTAACTACTCCTCGACAATTTCTTCGAAGATCTCTACATCGAACGCTAAACCGTTTCGCTTTTGCATAGGCATCATAAAATTTCTCTACATCTTCTAATGTTTGAAACTCCATAGAAGTAATTTGTTGTTCATATTCAATAGCTTTTTCATCATCCATAATTCTTCTTCACCACGCTCAGTTTCCTCATCGTCCCCAATCTCTTCATCATCTGTATCATCTATATCATCTTCATTATCCATAGTTTCTCCTCGAGCATCCTCATAATCCCCAATCTCTTCAACATCTCTATCGTCTATATCATCTTTATTATCCATCCTGCAATGATTGGAATAAGTATTGCATGTCAATATGGAAAATAAATGTATGCGACTAAAATCGAAATTAGGTCTAGTCTGGTCGATCGTCGCCAAGAGTAAGTTCGACCATATTAAAAAATAACACGAATTCGGTCGATCTTGGGAGTTGACATGGTCAACCGAATTAGAAATAAACTAACCACAAAAAACCGTTAACAAGCACATGATAAATAGATGTATAGATAAGACTAGAAGCGGTCAACCATATGAGAAATTCGGACGACCACGACACACAAGACTCGCGAAATATGGTCGACCTCTTCCACGACAAGGTCAATCGATATTTGATGATTGGCTAAGCACCAAACGATCTTCGCATGATAATGAAAACATACCTTAGCAAATAAGGTTGACTAGTTAGGTATAAGGTCGACCGAATTAAGAACAAACAGTACACCAACACACGAGGTCGACCTGTACTCTGCATACGAGGGTGACCTTTTTCAACCCGTGGTCGACCTCTTTGAGTAAATGACTCATACTTTTAATGCCTTGAAATCCATCATTATATAACTAATCATTAAATAAACGAAAACATTGAATATTCGGAAAAAAACCTCGCAAATCAAAGTTTAACGTATTATCTAAGAAATGTAACATTGTAACTGAATAATTTCATTTCTTTGCTTTTTTGTTTGAACTCTTTCTACCTTTGCCTCATTCCACGCATTCATCTACTACATGCTTGAAAAGATTTTCTTGTGTGCGGTTTCCAAGGTGTGTAGCCAGATACCATATAATCTCATTTCGAGCCTGTAATTTGTGTTCTTCTCCTATCTGCATTATGAGTCTTTAGAACTAAAAAACAAAAACAAATTTAAGCAAGTTTTTTGGTTGAGGATATACTAACCACACTATCCTGATCTTTGGATCCATAGTGCATCCACTCCATCACGTGCACACCACACTCGACACCGTTCCTTTGTCCTTGAACGCATAGCTCATCGATATCCAAATATTCAAAATTACGTATTGCTGCATTGCTCATGCGCTCCAGTTTGAACATATCATGCAGTTTGGACAACTACACAGAAACAACGAGTATTATATGCTTCTAGCAGTACACGTGATACTTAGAAGTCAGAATCTTATTGGGAAACACTTACCATTTTCTTGCAGTGGTTTGATCTACATTTACGACTCGCCTCGCTAGTTGGTGGTAGTCTGTGAAGCAAAAATGCACTTTTTTGCTGGACATTGACGAGATACAGAAACAATGACGTGTGTCATCGTCCAAAATTGGCATAAATATCTAGCAAAGAAAAAGTGTGTTATAAAATGAAAATACAAACAAATGCACTTTGAAAGCTTAATGAGATAGGGACATTGAGTAACCTTCTGACATGCTCTAACATTTGTCATAAACACCATGCCATCATCCAACAACTTGTTACGAATTTTTTTGGTCTACATGTTACGACCTAGCATTTTC